AGTAAGGAAGATTGGGTTTGGCAGAGCGAAGGTCACCCTTAAAAGTGCCTCAGCTGCCAACCTTTTAGTAGGTAATGAACAGTTGGTTGAAAAAGGTTACCAACCAAAAATTTTTACACATTTCATATCAAAAATAGGAATAATATTTGGAATTCCAACAGACATACCTGATGAGGAGCTGGCAGAGGCCATTAAATCTGACATAGCAATTTTAAAAATGCACAGGGTGACGAGGATGGTGGAAGGCACACGGGTGCCCACCCAAAGAGTAAAAATATGGTTCAAGGGGCTTGAATTGCCACAAACAGTCAGAATTTACGAATATCATAAAACGGAAGTAAAACATTTCATTCAATTTGGCAGATGTTATAGGTGTTACCGCCATGAACACACGGCGGAGCATTGCAAGCAGAGACTGGAGTCATGCAAAAGATGTTTTTCCCCACACGAAAAGGACCAGCCTTGTGCTGAGAAGATCATATGTGTAAATTGTAAAGGTGATCATAACCCGTTGGAAAAAAACTGTCCTGCGAGACAGCGTGCGTATGAAATGAAGAGAATTATGACAGTGGAGAACCTATCCAGGAAGGAGGCGAGGGAAAGGTACGCTGGACATTTTAACAGCTTTAATATCCTGGCAGACAATATAGACTCAACTTTTCCAACTTTAGACGTAGCGCATAGAAAGCAAGGCGAAACAAGGGGTAAAACAATTGACAATAATGCAGCATCAGCGAACTACATACATGCTAAAAGCTCATTTGCCAAGGTTACTAAAAATAACAGAAATCAACAGAGAGAAAATGAGAATGCTAGAAGAAATATGCAGGAGTATAGAGAAGCGTTAGAGGAGGGAGAAATTTATAGATCACCTAATGGATCAGTGATCCGAAAAACGCAGGAAGTGTTAGACTCACTCCTAAACAGCGTAAATGAGCTTGCCTCTCAGAGCATTGGTAAGTTGAGTAACGAGCAGACGGCCACTTTAAATAATATTAAAGATAAATTACGAAATGAAATCCTAAATTTTGATGTAATGTTGATTAAACCAGGTGTCAGAGCGCATGAAAATGCCAGCATCATTGAAGAAGTGATCATATCAGATATATAACCCCCGTCATGTCATTGAAAATTTTGCAGTATAATATACAAAGCATAAATAAACAAGGAAATAAGGATCTATTGGAGCTTTTCCTGGAGAAAGAGAATATTGACATTGCACTTTTGACTGAAACATGGGTCAGGGATGACACCATCACTAATATATGTAATTATAACTTTTATGGAAAAAAGAGAAGTGACGGATACGGTGGTGTAGGAATCTACATCAAACGCAAATTTAAATTTTCTCTTATTAAATTCGACTCTGAGGATGAGGTAATAGGCATTTCTATATTAAACTCAAAAAATCCCTTTAACCTAGTAGTTATGTATATCCCCCCCAATACTAACAGGAATATGTTTATTGATATGATTACCAATCTTTTTCAGACAATAAATGCTTTAAGAAACCCAACGCTACTTGTTGGAGATTTTAATGCGAAGTCTGTATTATGGGGTAACACCCACACAGATCCGCAAGGTGATGTTTTGGCTCGTTTTGCTAATATAAATAATTTTTCCTGCCTCAATTCTGGTGAACCAACGTTTGTCTTGAACAACACTCATTCAACCATTGACTTGTCTTTCTTAAATAGCACGGCGTTACAAACCTCCTGGCAAGTAAGGCAGGATAAAATAACAAATAGTAATCACCTACCAATAATTATACAAATTGAACGGTTTTCAGTAGGCAATAGGAAGATCATTCTCAAAAAAAGGCTTCTACATGAGATTGGCAGTGTGCAGATAGGCGATAATCTGCAGACAATACAAGATAACTTCCGTAGAGTGCTAGATAACAACACGATAATTGCTGATGCAGATAACAGATTTGTCCCCAAACCATGGTGGAACAGTAAGGTTCAGGAGCTATATGACAAGAGAGCTGATCTTCGTGCAGCAAATCAAAGATTTAGCAGTTTTGAAAACTCAGCCAGGTTAGCGGAAACGGAAAGGAAGCTATACAATCTGATTGCAAGGCTTAAGAGGAAAAATTTCAGAAAATTACAAAGTGATCTATCAGGAAACATACCACTGAAGGAAGCTTGGAGCAAGATGGCTAACGTGAGAAATATCGGAAATACAAGCCACCCAACAACACATGGAATGAGGACCAAAATCGAGAGTTTTTGAAGCATATCACGGAATCTTCCCAAATATGCTCTGAACCTAGCATTCGGTACAATGTTAACTAGCAAGCCAAAATTACAGCTCTCGGCTATGGAACAGTTTCTCAAAACCAGAAGGATGAGATCAGCCCCTGGACCTGACAGAATTTCATATGCCATGATAAATGGGTTAGGCAATCCAGAAAGAATCAAGTTGTTGAAGGTTCTGAATCAAATATGGGAGGACGGTGTCTTTCCAGAAGAATGGAGAAAGATCAAAATTGCCCCGGTCCCAAAAAGGAACAAGGATCCGTCTATAATCAAAAATTACAGGCCTATTGCTTTGATGTGTGCACCTCAAAAAATATTAGAGGCAGCCCTCAAGCAGCTTATTCAAAATCATCTGGAAAACAACCGAGTGATACCAGGAAGGTCTTATGCGTACATGCCGGGGAAATCCACCACGATGTGTATCAATGACCTGATTAATAATATTGAGATGCATAAGGCTAATAAGAGAGTGGTAGTAGGAGCTTGCGTAGATATTGAAAAAGCATATGACAACACGGATATCGGCAAATTGTCACTGATCCTGTTCCAGATTGGCCTCAATGTGCATATTATCAGATGGATTTACGATGGCATGAGTAGACGCACACTTAGTCTTGGTGGTGAAACAATTGCAGTCAGAAATGGCCTCCCACAAGGCAGTGGACTTAGTCCCTTACTTTTTAATACGTACACGGCGGAATTGCATAAGATTATTGATGATGGTTGCAGCCTATTCCAATTTGCTGATGATTTTTTTATTATCTGCTACGGCAGCAGTTTTGACATTGCCAGATGTAAGCTCCAAAGTAAGATTCAGGAATTCAGCCAGGTATGCAGCAACTTGAAACTTTCTTTCAACACAGAGAAAATAAGCGTGGTCCATTTCAATAGGCAGCCGAAGCAGTTAAACATCACCATCAATAACTGTCAACTGGGTCAAACCAATGTAATTAAATATCTAGGTGTGAACATCACGGCCAGTGGATCTGCCAAAGTACATATGGATGAGACGTCCAATGCCATCAAATATAGTTGTCAATTTCTTAGAATCCTCAGCGGCTGCAAGTTTGGTGTAAGCCCAAGCAGGGCCATACACTTTTACAAGGCTTTTGCCAGACCCAAGATTGAATATGGTGCCTCATCGTTATCTAACCTTACAAAAGAGTCAGAACGTAAGCTGAAAGCAGGAATCCAGGAAAACTTGAGGAAAGCTTTAGGACTTATAAGGTCAACACCGATACCTATTATCTATAATCTTGCGGCTGAACTACCTCCGACTTACAGATTCCAGCTTGCCACTGCAAAGAAACTAGCCAAATGTGTTGCGTTCGAATTTCCAGGAGCATCTTTAGTCAGAAACAATAGACAAATCAACACCAGTTATGCCAAGGTATGGACGAAATTTGGATCAGTATTAAATCATATTGCTTCTACCAGAGTGTACGGGTTAGGTTCGGACAAAGTTTGTACTGACCTTCTCTTTTTTAAAGGAATCACTGCCAACAAGTCAGAAGTCAATCAAGAAATCATTGCGCAACTTGCTATAGAGAAAACAAATCAGCTTCAGGATGCTGGCTATGAGCTATTCTTCACGGATGGGTCAGTGGTCGGTGACGTTACTGGTGCTGCCTTTCATCATGTCAATTCAAATACAACAAAATCCTTTTATACTAGGAAAAAATTATCATCCATGTCTTCTGAAGTGCTGGCATTCCTTAAAGCGGTGGAATATGCTGAGAATAACAATATTAAAAGGTTCGCAATTCTTTCTGACAGTTTGAGTGGCATTCAAGCCGTAATGAGTCAAAAGCACAGGAGTTATTTGATAGATTGTTTTATAAATAAGGTAAATTGTTTTGCCGATAAAGTATGTTTGCACTACATTCCAGGTCACTCATCAATTAAATTCAATGAAATCGTTGACAGGGCAGCAAAGAATGCCGTAAATGAAGGAACTGTTCTTGAAATTCCGTGGCCGATACCTGATGCTATAAATCAGATCGCCAAAGTTTTGTGGCAAGAATGGGGTAACGAATATGAGGAAGTAGCAAGAAACGGTAATTCTCATTTTTATAAGATCTTTCCCTCTCTAACTAGAACACATTGGTTCAAAAATTGCAATCTTAAACCTTCTTCACAAAAACAGATTAACAGAATCCTAAGTGGGCACTGTTTTTGTAAGAACACGTTAGCCAAAATGAATGTTGTACCAGACAATCTTTGCGAGGACTGCGGGTAACCTGAAACAGCCGCGCATGTAATTTTCAGATGTCGTAAATTTAGTAACAAAAGAAGATGCTTCCCACAACTATGTGACTCCTTCACAGTAGAAGAGTTCACTGATACACAAGGCTTAGAAAGTCTGAACATAGTGGTAAAATTCTTGAAGGAGATCGAAGTCGACTTGTAATACAGAAACCACCATCTATGGATAAAGTCAATGTTGTAGCTTAAGCTACATATGGAGACATGGCTCTGAACATTCTATTTTCAAACAGGACGTGAGCCAAGGAGGAGAGGAGTTAATTGGAAAAAAAAACAATGTTACCATTTAAATCGTTTTGCTACACCCTGTTGTGAACAGCTGTTATCGATAATACCGTACGCAACAACAACATATGTTTTGTTTATATGATTCCAACAACAGTTTCACACACAACGTGAACGTCAACGCCAGCAGAGACAGCAAAGAAAAACGTGCATGCGACCAGACTCCACAAAAACTAAGAAAAATTTAATAAAACGACGAAAAAATGGGTAAAAAGGTTTATAATGCCAAGGCAAGGCAGCAAAAGGAAATTATTGTCGATAATTCAGCATTAAAAAATGTAAGTTTGATGGAAAAATCATTTAATTCCGCGAATTAATGAATGTTTTCATTTTTTGTCTCACGCTACAGGTGAAATTAGAATTATCGGAGATAGAAGGTGGCTCCGTTGGAGCAGGCTATGATGAGGCCAATGCGTTGGTATTGCCCTCACAAAAGCGGGCAACTAAAGTTAAAGTGGAACACAAGCAAAATGTTAAGATTCTAAGCAAGAAACAAAGGAAGCATTTACAGGCAATTGTGGACAAGAAGAAGAAGAAAGAGGGGGTAAGTAGTATAAGATGTGTAATGCGTATAATTCTAATGATGATTTATTAAATTTTCCTTAGCGTGCCGATCTTTTGGAAGCCTTGGCCAAAGTCCAAGTACCTGAAGCGCAATTGAAACAATATACTTCCATTAGCCAGGTCCAAACAGTGGGTGTCAAGAAATTAGATACCCTCGAGGAGTTAATGGCCAAAAAGTTACAAAGACAAAAGGCAGCACAGGTGGCTGAGGGTACCAAAATTAGCTCCATAAAAGGGGCAGCCAAGCGTAAACTTTTAGCAGAAGAAGTTGAAGATATTGAAGCCAAGAAACGTAATCCCAACTATGTGGGTATGGATGAAAGCAGCAGCAGTGAGGATGAAGAAGATGATGATGATGAAAGTGAGCAACAAATGGAAACAGCAACTAAAGAAACAGATGTCCAGGAAACTAAAAAAGACACGAAAGAAGATAAACCAAAACCAGAACAAACCATCGTCAAGGAAACAGAAACCAAACCCCCCAGTGCTACCACAAAAACCGAGGAACCGAAAAAACCTGCACAACCTATGGCTCCTCCTCGAACCACAGTTTATGTACCTGTTCACCGTGATCCTGAAATCCAAGCTGCTCGTCTCAAACTTCCCATCTTGGCTGAGGAACAACAAGTTATGGAAGTTATCAACGAGAATAACATTATTATTGTGGCTGGTGAAACGGGTTCCGGTAAGACCACACAAATTCCACAATTCCTTTACGAGGCTGGCTATTGTGAAAATGGTAAATTAATTGGTATAACCGAACCACGTCGTGTTGCTGCCATTGCCATGTCCAAACGTGTTGCCACCGAAATGAATCTAAGCGAAAAGGAAGTTTCCTATCTTATACGTTTCGAGGGTAATGTAACACCTGAGACTAAAATCAAATTCATGACCGATGGTGTCTTATTGAAGGAAATTGAATCGGATTTTCTGCTGAAAAATTATTCGGTTATTATTTTGGATGAGGCTCACGAAAGAAGTGCATATACAGATATATTGGTGGGTCTCCTCTCCCGTATTGTCCCACTACGTTTGAAAAGAGGTGGTAATCCATTGAAATTGATTATTATGTCTGCCACTTTAAGAGTTGAAGATTTTACCGGTAATACCAGGCTGTTTAAAAATCCCCCACCTCTATTGAAAGTTGAGGCCAGACAGTATCCGGTTACTGTACATTTTCAAAAACATACTCCCGAAAATTATGTCGAAGAGGCATATCGTAAAACTGTAAAAATACATTCACAACTTCCGGAGGGAGGTATTTTAATTTTCCTTACCGGTCAGCAGGAGGTGAATCAGTTGGTACGCAAATTGAGAAGAACTTTCCCATATAATCCAGATGTGAATAAACAAAAACCCAAAGCCATTGAAGATAAGAAGGAGGAGGAGAAAGAAGAAAATAACGCAGACGATGAAGAAATGCCTCCAACACAATCTCGTGATTCCGATGATGAGTTCGATATGAAACGTGCCATACGAAATGTACGCAAATCCAAGAAAAAATTCCTCACCCAATTGGCATTACCTAAAATTAATTTGGATGATTATAAATTACCCGGTGATGATACTGAAGCTGATCTTTTGGAAGAAGCTGCAGGGGAGGATAATCATCAAGAAGGTGATTTGGATGATGAAGATGACGATGATGAATCTGCCCAGCAATTGGATGAAGGCACAGCTGCAGCTACAACCAAACAACCCTTGTGGGTTTTGCCTCTGTATTCCTTGCTATCTACGGAAAAACAAAATCGTATTTTCCAACCTCCACCAGAGGGCTGTCGCCTTTGCATTGTAAGCACAAATGTGGCAGAAACCTCCCTGACCATTCCCAATATTAAATATGTGGTGGATAGTGGCAAACAAAAGACACGGCTATATGATAAAATCACAGGTGTCAGTGCCTTCGTGGTTACATACACCTCAAAGGCCTCTGCTGATCAAAGAGCAGGTCGTGCGGGTCGTGTTAGTGCTGGTCACTGTTATCGCTTGTATTCCAGTGCGGTGTACAACGATGAATTTGAGGATTTCTCACTGCCAGATATTCAGAAAAAGCCTGTGGATGATTTAATGTTACAAATGCGTTGTATGGGTATTGATCGTGTCATTAATTTCCCCTTCCCTTCACCACCCGATGCTGTACAATTAAAAGCTGCTGAGCAGCGTTTGATTATTTTAGGAGCATTAGAAAAGGTCGAGGATGCCCAGAGTACAAAAGATGTACCACCAATTGTAACACGTTTGGGTCACATTATATCCCGTTTCCCGGTGGCTCCACGTTTTGGCAAAATGCTGGCCCTGTCGCATCAACAAGATTTGCTACCATACACAGTGTGTTTGGTGGCCGCTTTATCAGTGCAAGAAGTTCTGGTTGAAGTTAATTTCGATAAGGAAAAGGAAGATGGATCTGCTGCCATAAATAAATGGCAAAAGAAAAGACAATCATGGGCTTCCACGGGAAATTACCAATTGTTGGGCGATCCTATGGTCCTTCTGCGAGCGGTTGGTGCTGCTGAATATGCTGGCTCCAAGGGAGAATTGGTGAAATTTTGTGCCGATAATGGTTTACGTCACAAGGCCGTTTCCGAAGTACGCAAGCTACGTGTACAACTAACCAATGAAATTAATCTCTCCATCTCCTCGGTGAATTTGTGTGTAGACCCCTCTATGCCACCACCCACAGATGCTCAGGCGAGATTTTTACGACAAATTCTTCTCTCCGGTATGGGTGATAAAGTCGCTCGCAAGGTTCCCTTGGAAGACATCAGTGATAAGGAAGAGAAACGACGTTTGAAATATGCCTACAATTGTATGGATATGGAGGAACCTGTCTTTATACATTCCTCGTCTGTGCTAAAACAAAAATTACCCGAATGGGTAATCTATCAGGAAGCATATGAAATACAAAATGGTGATTCGACAAAAATGTTTATACGTGGCATCACAGCCATTGAACCGGAATGGTTATTGATTTATGTGCCATTGTTGTGCAATATCAAGGCTATTAAGGAAGATCCGCTGCCACGTTATAAGTCGGAAGATGGTAAAATTTATTGTTATGTCGATGCCACGTTTGGTAAGGCCGGTTGGGATTTGCCTTTGACGGAAATTGAAATGCCCATGGAGGAGAAGGCTTTTTGGTAAGTTAGTTGAAGAAAATATATTTTTTTAAAAACATAAAAACATCTATCTTTCTCTTTCATTTCAGCTACTTTGCCATGTTCTTATTAGATGGTCAGGTGTGTCCACAACTTGTACCCTTCAAAAGCAAACTGAAATCAACACCCTCTGCCATGACGAAAAGTTGGTCCAATCTAAATGATGCCCTATTGAAATTTAAGCGTTGCCTTATTGTCAAACAAATCAATAACCGACAAAAACTATTCGATGAATGGGAGAAAAATCCGAACTGTATGTATTTTCCCGTATTTTAAAATAATTAGTATATTTTTTGTTAACTTTTCTTTTTTCTTTATTTCCAGTTTTACTCCATGAGTATCAAAATATTTTATATGATGTTTCATTATCGGAATTGATGCCAATATGGCCACCAACTAAATTAGAATAAGTTTTGTTTTTTTTTTCTTATTTTAAATTAGCAATTAATCAAATAAATTTTTGTCATAGTTTGTTTTCTAGGCAAAAAGAAACAAAAACAACAAAATTATTTTTTTAAGATTGGGATATTGCGATCAACTCCTTTGTGGTAAAAATGTTACTACGAAAATATTAAGACCAAAGAAGATTATTAAGACCAAACCAGACACAGTTGTCCCAGTAATACACCAGAGGCAAAAAAAGTCATCGATCATCTCCAAGGAAAATCATTCCTTTTTTTTTTTTTGTTTTTTTGAAGAAGAGAAATATCAAAATTGTTTTTCGAACTCTGACCTCCAAATTTAATTAACATGAAAGCGAAGCAATCTACTCTCCCGAGGGCCCTGAATATTTCAAAATCGTCGAATCGGGTAACATTATTCTACCATATCATCAAACCATCTCGTATTCAAAAATAGGTTACTTGTAGATATAACAAATCTCGAAGGAGATTAAAAATCCAAAAAAATATATGAGCAACCCCGGTGATTTCCGGAAGGGTGTGTCGTCTCTTATTCACGTCATAAATAGTATCCTGAAGGGTGTGTAATCTAATATACTATACTGTTTTTTTCTACGTGTTGCTTGGATCTCAATCATTGAAGGCGGCTGTCCAAATGGAAGTTCTGAGGCATTTAAAAAACCTATTTTTCTAAATGTCGACATTTGGCAAACTAAGGATAATTTCTATCGAATATGAGAAGCTGTAGATATCTATACTAATAACAGAGTAAAGTGATTGACTGACATAACGATTTCATCAACGCCCAGACAAAGGTCACTCTTAGTCCAAAGGTGTCAGATAGGGCTCGGATTTGGAAATTCGTATTTGGCGAGCTAGAACTCATAAATTTATAATGAGAGTCACTGATGGAGTGTAGGATAGATGTACCAAAAGGGTTTTTGGCAGTTCGAACTATAAGTCCGAAAAGTACTAAAATGTACCAAACTTGTTACAATTTCTTGGCATGTGAACGGATAGAGCTAAAAAATTTAAATTTGGAATTAGGGTCACTGATAGAGCGGTTTTTTATGGTTTTTGGAAGTTCGAACAATAAGTCAGAAAAGGGCTAAAATTTGTATTTGGCGAAACCGGTAAAGCTAGAACACTTAAATTTGGAATGAGGGTCACTGTTGAAAGGTAGGATAGATGTATCAAAGGGGTTTTGGAAGTTCGAACTATAAGTGTCCGAAAATGACTAAAATGTACCAAATTTATTACAATTTATTGGCATTTGAACGGATAGTGTTACAAAAATTTAAATTTAAAATGCGAATCAAGGTTGAGAAGTAGGGTCGATAAAAGGAGGTGCTTTTAGAAGTGTGTACTCATGTATACGAAAAGTACTAAATGGTACTAAATTTGGTACACTTTGAATTAGGGGCTGGAATCTTGAAACTTAGATTGTGGTATGTAGAAATTTTTTTAAATTTGTACTTATGTGTACGAAATGGTACTAAATTTGATACAATTTGGAGTCAGGCTGAACCAATAGACCTGGAATCCTGAAATTGGGAAATAAGACTTCTATTGGATTGTATGATGTAGGTAGTAACGGAAATTTGTACCAAATGATACCAAATTTAATGCCAGGCGATCCGATAGAGCTAGAATCCTGAAATTTGAAATTAAGGTTACTGTTGGAGGGTACGACATGGGTATGTGGGAAGTTCTGTAAATTAGTACTTATGTGTACTAAATTTGGTACAATTTGGATTTCGTGCTGGAATCCTGAAATTTGCAATTAAAATTATTTTATAGTGTAGGATTGGGTTATGGATGTAGTTTTGGAAGTTCGTACTTATGTGTACTAAATGCTACTAAATTTGATACAATATTGATTTTGGTAACCCGATAGAGCTGGAATCCTAAAATGTGGAATTAAAATTATTTTGGAGTGTAGGTTTGGGGTTGGATGTAGTTTTGGAAGTTTGTATTTATATGTACAAAGTGGTACTAAATTTGGTACAATTTGAATTTTGGGTATGGAATACTGAAATTTGGTAATATGATTCTTATGGTACTTATGGAAATTTTGTATTATTGTGTACAAAAATGGTACAAAATGTAGTACAATTTGTACAAAATGACAATTTGTACTTATGTGTACTAAATGGTACTAAATTTGATACAATATTGATTTTGGTGACCCGATAGGATTGGGGTATGGATGTAGTTTTGGAAGTTTGTTATGAGTATTAAATGGTACTAAATTTGGTATAATTTGAATTTTTGAGTCTGGAATGCCGAAATTTGTAAATATGATTCCAATTGGATTGTTGAGGTTGGTAACTCATGGAAATTTTGCATTATGTTCTAAAATGGTTCTAAATATAGTAAAGTTTGGATTTGAATGAAATAGAAATAGATCTCGAATCATAAAACATGGAATTAGTTTTGGAAATAAGTACCACAAGTGTAAAAAGAGGTAATGAATAGTACCAAATATAATATTGATCATAATTTATGTTGCGATCAGAATTGGTGTGTAGTGTTGAGATATGAAGGTAATTTTGTAAATTCGTACCACAAGGAGCACTCAAAATTTAATAATGGTCGATATTGAAGTGTATGTTGGAATCAGATAAGAATGTTTCTGTGAAAACAACATAATATGTTAAGGCATCTTTAAATATTTTCCTCATTGGCTAACCAAGTAGAAATTTTAAAATTCATTTTTAAATAAAAAATATGATTATTTTTTGTAATAATTTTTATTAACTCAATTAATTTGTTTCAATTTCTCTTTGTTTTTAAGTTTCTTGTATTCTTTTGTTTTCGTTACTTTTATAATAATAATAATTTTGTAATTGTACAATAATTGTTGTAATATCTTTTTAACTATTTACAAAGCTAATATTGATTATGATAATATTGATTTCATTATTTTTTTAAAACATTTTTTTGTTAAATATTTTTTCATCATAATTTTTAATTGAATTCCTTTATATATATTTTATTTTCATAGTTGAGAGAATAGAACGATATTAAAATGAATTGAGAGAGATAGAGAGTTAGGAAGAGTTAAAGCGAAACAGGAGATAGTGTGGTTCTTTTTGAGATTAATTTATGAGGTTATTATTTATGTTACATATATAGATTCAAACCGTTTATTTTTTTTAATAACAATTGGTTGCACAAAATTCAATTTTCAAAATATTTTTTTGGGTTTTTTTGTTTTGTTTTTTTTTTATTAAACTTATGGTTTAGATGAAAATATGCACCATTTCTTTTTTTAATTTTATAATTTGTATTTATGTATATAGAGTTTATTTTAATTACTTTACATAATTGATATGCTTTTATATATATTTTTTGTATAGTTTGGTTTTATTTTTCATAATATATATTTTTGTATATAATTTATGTTATGTAATGAGCCTTTTATTATATACAAACAAAAATATACACAGGTTATTCTCAAGGGAAATTTTGTAATGCTTTTTTATTTATTAAAAAAACAGAGTGTTAGGGAGAAACTAAATTTATTTTTTTAATATTAATAATAATTGTATTTTAGTTGAATACTAATTAGGAAGAATTAAAGGAGTTTTTTTTTCATTTTAAATATTTTGTTATAAAATGTTGGTTTAAATGGGTATGTTTAGTTTATTATTGTTGTGTGTGGTTATGAAATTTGTCTCTATTTATTTGTGTGTGGTTTTTAGTTATTATGTTATTTTTTTATTATTTATGTGGTTTATTAAATTTATTAGAAAAATCAGTCTAATTTTTAAGGCAACATGAGAGCTTTTTTGTTTTTTTTTTAATAGTGTTTTTTTTTTCATAGTATTTTTTTTATTTTTTTTTCTAAAAAGTCTTAATACTAATATCTCTTTTTTTATTATATTTTAATGATTTTCTTTAATAATTTAGTACTAGAAGAAGAAAAACCAGGAAATGTATTCATGGAAACCTTCAGAATTCTAACACTCTAATGAGTATATGTATAATGATTTCATTGATATGAAAGATATGAAAGAGTAATCATCAAAAGCGTTACAAAATTGCCCTTCTGAAGAGTTCAATTTTTTTTAATTGACTGGTGGTTAGACCCTTCGTAATACACTTCAGCGAAACCGCTCTCAAGTACTCCAAAAGAGTAGGAAAATTGTCCACTCAGCACAGCCTATCACTCTATAAGTGCATGTTCTTCAAATAGAAGATAAGTAATTTTCAGGTATGCCATAAATTCCGACCGGAATTGTTTCAATTTCGTAATTCTATTTCGATCGGGTTTTCTTTACTTTCTTTTTACCATCGAACAAATCAAAAGTGGTTTCATTCAAAAAAAAAAAATTTTTTTTTGTTTTCTGTGGAAGCTATATGCCTCTTTATTTAATTTCGATCGGAGGAGCTTTGGGGACTTGATCTAGGCCTTGTAAAGATAAAAGAATCGCCAAATATTGGCATCTTCTGAATTCATATACGCTTGGTACAAAGTTTGGTTTAAATCGGATAGTTCGTTCGCGTAATATTAAAAAATTAACTTTTTGCACAATTTTGACCCATAGTGGGAAAGGTACTACAAGGAGTTGACCAAAGGGTCCCATCTTCGGACTTAGTGTAGACTTGATAATGATAATAGGTTGTGCAAAGTTTGGTTTATATCGGACATTCCATTCGCCTTAAATTGGATTTAAAAATATTGCAAATTTTTACCCTTTGTGGGGGAGGTACCAGAAGGAGTGGACTAATGGGTTGCATATCATTGGACCTGATCTACGTTTCGTAGTGATAATAATATTCCTACTTGATCTATGCTTGGTAAAGATAAATGGCTGTACAAAATTTGATTCAAATCAGAAATTTTATTAGCCTAATATATAATTTATAAATATTGAGAATTTCGAATTTTCATTTGTGGGGGAGGTACCAGAAGTGGTGGACCAATAGGTTCCATCTTTGGACTTGATCTAGCCTTAATAAAGATAATATGTGAAAACATTTTTGTTCAAATCGGATAATCCGTTCGATATTATAAAAATAATTTTTAGCACAATTTTAACCATTTTGTGGGGAAAGCACCAGAAGGAGTGGATATTCCGATATTCCCCATCCGATACCCTCAATTACGATGTGTAAAGTTTGGACAAAATCGGTTGCTCCCTTCGGGAGTTATCTTGCGCACCAGCCGGTCAAGCAGACAGACGGACGGACAGACATTTAAAAATCGACTCTAAATTTTCAGAAACGGATTTGGTCAATAGAAACATGGGGTCTAAAATCAATATTTCGATGATGCACATATTCAAAGCCGTTAATAAGTTGTGGACCGTCCGTACAGGTCCACAACTTATTGACCCTACAACTTTAAATTCACTGAATGCAAAAATTATGTACTAAAACGTTCAGGTAAGTGTTGTCCACGATGTCCTGATGATTGAGGACGTTTCGTTGCAGAATTGCTTGAAGGAGCCACTACTGCCTAAGGGGAAAAACAAATCAATGATCATGTCAAACATTTCTGATTTGAATGTTTTTTACCGATGAGAACTGACTCTCTGGTCATTTGTACAATGGAATTTACAACTACTTCATTACTATTCGACATTCTTAGCTGTATTACTGTGACTTTTAACTATGATGGTCGTTGAAACGGAATCCGTTGACTGGGAAGTTGTTGTCATTTTGAGTAAAAAAAAAACGGTTCCCAATTCTTATCCTAAAAAGCGAGGAAATGAACCATATACTTCGGGATAAATTCAATGATTCTAAATCCACATATATAACATTGACTGTGTACAAAAGCAGAATACGTTTCTTCTGCCAACTCAAAATCTTGGAAATCGTAAAAACGTATGTCACGGAAATAAACGATTTTCCATGTCAGTTTCCTTTAAATACTCGAAATTCTTGTAGATGAAAAATAGATTAACAAATGAGAAATATACATTTTTTTAGTGAAATTATTTTTTAAATTCAAATATGATATTAAAAAAGTAATTGAATGATTAACAGGCAGGGAGGATTTTGAAATAAAATATCTTTGTCCAGAACTAAATTATTAAAAAAATAACATTATTTTTTTTGGTTTTATTTTTTGTTTTGTTTTTTTTTTCGTGTATATGTATAACTAAAAACTATCGCAAAGTTATGTGCATTATAAAGAAAGGAAAGATTTGGGAGACACATACATTTAAAAAAATGGTAAAAAAAGTAACTACAAAAATAAAATCTATAAATATATAAATGGTTAGAAAAAATAATATACTAGGGGGCAATTGGAACAAAATAATAATACAAATATATAACTTATCAGTTGGGGGGGTTGTGTTTTTGTTGCTGTTCGCTTTACACAAACATTTTTACAAAAAAAAAAAATTAAAATCGGAGTATTTTTTTATGATAATAATAGGCCATAATTACATTAAATTTATCATTATCATAATTCTATAATATAATAATAATAATGGTTAAATATTTTTTATTTATAATACAATAAATGTATTGTGTTTTTGTTTTTTTTTATATCCATACATATGTATAATAATTCTTTTTTGTTTTTAAATATAATTTTTTGTTGGTTTTAATAATTTTTAATTAATGTTAACATAGTGTGTTTTTTGTGGTATTCAGCTAGTAATAAAGCAATAATATAAGGAGTTTTTTTACAACGTTTTGTTTTCAGTTTGTATTTTACTTTTTTTAATTTCATATTTAACTTTGAAACATTAGAAGAAACTAAACAAATAACCCTGTTTTATATTTATGTATATGTATAATATTTTTGTTTGTTTTTTTTTAACATATTCTATTTTTGTTTTGCAATTAAACAACCATATTATCTTTTATTAAAATATTAACTACATTTGTTTTTTAGGTTATGTAAAAAAGGAGGAAACTAATTATAACAAGTATTATTTACAAGCATACATATGTATTTATTTCAATTGCTATACTTCTTTTTTTGAGTGGTATTTTTCTATGCGGGAAATGAAAAACTGATAACAATTTCTAATATCATGTGGGAGCATATATTTATATGCGGTTTTTTGGCTTTGCAAGAGAAACTGGGAGTAAGAGAAAATAAAGAATGGCGCGCGGAAGATCAATGTAGTGATGGCTGGCGCGCACAACATCACAATCATCTTGCATATATACAGCTGAACACCCTTTTGGTAATAATTGGCATTGGCGACAATAGGATTTTCTTTGTTTGTAGAAATCACAAACACCTCTACACTAACAAAAAGCAGGGAAAGCATAGGGCGGCTGGCTTGTAAACCCTTTGGCTTTAGCCTTAACCATTATAAATGTTAACCAAAGTATGCAATTTAAATGCTAAACATCTGTACTCTCTTCTTTTGTTTTGTCAGCAGCAATAGCTTTTGGTTCATTTTCCATTTTATTTGCCTCGCAAAGATCAACATTCTCAGTGGATTCCTGCCTCGTCGTACTCGTGGCCTGTAAATTCTCTAAATTCTCATCGTCATCGTCAACATCAATTCCAATTTCTTCAATAACAACTGTATCACAGATGGCATCCACCAAATGTTCAACCAAATCCTTGGCAGTACAACTATTGCTAATATTTGAATTTTGTGATGACGAAGTGGTCAGTTTTTCCAATGAGATTTCCTCATTAATGGAATCTTTTTCACCTGATGTTACTGCTGTTGTTGTGGTGGTGGTGTTTTCGGACAATTTACTTTCTTCTTGTGTTGAAGATTTCTCCTCACTTGGTGAGGATACTTCGTTTTCCGTATCTATTGTGGATTGGCTTGGCAAGACATCCCTTTCCCTACTCACGGCCATCACCACCCCATCACAATCATCATCATCACGCTCCCTTTCTTTATCCTTGTTCTCCTGTTCCACAACCTGTTGCCATAACTGTTTTAGATATTCTTCCTGACGTTCTTTTTCCAAATTCATAAGACAACTTTCATCTTCGGAACTACTACTACTCACCGCCTGTATACCACCAGTCTTGCCGCTGATACTACCGCCACGTGTTCCACCCTCGCCGGCCAATAGCGATGTTGGAGATTCTAGACTGCTGCCCAATATTGGTGTTAGACCACGATCCACCTGCTGTTGCCTCAGTTCAGCCATTTCTCTCTGCAAAGAGTTACGCCTTGATGTTTCCATTTCTTTTTGAACACTGTCCATGGCCTGATTGTATTGGCGCAGACCACTGGCCGTAACGGGTACATAATTTTCACCAATCTCAATCAAATACACATCACGATTGAGGGGTGTACGACAAACTTTATTTGGATGATTTGGACGCCAGATGTGAATGACATAGCCGACCATGCCGGCTCGTGGTTCCCAGCCATCCCATGAAAGGCGGCCGCCCTTTTGGCGCAAAGCTTCAAAGGGCCAGACAATACGGCGACACTGATCAATGTTGTGGAAAATCTAAAAAAAGACACAAATAAAAATGTTAAAAAATGTAACCATTTCCCCTAAATTTCCCCCTTTTCCTTACCTCTCTTTCATCCACGATTATCACTTTTTCATACAAGGCAAACCTGGGCTGGGCCCCTTCATTGCTACTACTGCGACTATAAGATGCCACAGAACCTCCAGTTGTTGTGGTTGAATTTTGCTCTCCAACTCCTGCGCCACCAACACCACTACCCAACAATCCTGAACCACTTTCCATTGCTGTAGCCGTTGCCGTTGTAGTGCCTGCACCCACACCTGCTGCAGCAGCCGTTAAACAAATCGGACCTTTTGTTTTGCGCGGGTAATCACCGGGAGTGGTAATTATATTACCTATCCCCAGATTGCCCGAGGAACAATAGATTTTTGTATAACGTGGACTACCACCATTGGCCGCATTATTATTGTTGTTGACAACGGCGGCCGCAGCTCCAGCCATATTATCACTGGACACATCTTTGTCCAACGTTTGTGACGAATCATCCGAATCTTTAATGACTTCTGGCAATACCGAACTAGTACTGGCTATTGGCAGTGTTGCCCTCCGCTCACGTTCGGAGGAGCTACGTACCGAAGAAGAAGACAACAGCTGCTTGTTTGTGCGTGATTCACGTAATATTTCCTGTTCCCGGTTGAGGAGACCAGCCAGCAGTGTGGTGGAAGAGGGTTTCATAACATTCATAGAACTGCGCATTGAGGACAGACCATCACTGCCAAATTGAGAACTCAAAGTGGCCCCAGGCACACCAGTTGCTGCTGTGGCTCGACTAAACATTGTGCTGGCGGTGAGTGTATTATATATGGGAGGAGATATATACATTGGTCTTAGGTCACCACTTTCACCGGAATTCGAGCAGGCACCCGATGGCAGACCCAGGTGGGTGGTGGTCTCCATCGAGGAGCCGGAACTACAACCTTGGCGACATTTTTCCCGTATATGATGCCACCAGTCCAAAATATTTGTTTTTATCGCCTCAGGGGTAATGGGTCCACCCACAACCTTTTTTAATTGATCGTTGGTATCGGCATACGAGGTAGTCAGTGGTGAAACATAGATCGGATAACCAATTGGCTGATCGCAGCTGGAATTAATGATGTTACGCAAGGCTTGCTTGGCATTCTGAATACTTCCTCGTTCGGGGTTGCGGTTACGCAAATAGATCAGTTCCTGTTGTTGCCCGGCCCACAGGCCACGAACACATTCCCTATTCAGTTTGATGACACGGAAGGTAAGGAAACGTTTCGTCAAACGTATAATACGATATTCATCGGAACCATCTTCCATGACGTGACGCAGTGCCAGCAAATTGGGGGCTCCGCGTAAAACTGCACTTCTCCACACAGGATCGGCCTCATGCGATATAACCAAATCCTTGGCACTGGTATCAATGGCATCGTATAAAGCATCCGGATCTCGAAATTCATCAGGATTCGAGATGTGATCCTGTTGAAGCTTCAAGGCCATTTTAACAGCTGGCGCTACAACGGCATGTAACAAATCCATATCGGCAAACACCCATTCATCGCGGGGTGATGTAATGCGGAAATCACCTTTGAACAGGGCATGCAAACCATGCAGGAAAAACTCCACACCCGTCATGGAACTGTGTGAAGCTGTTGCCAAAGATCGACGGGCCAAAAGGCTTAGAGCCAAACATAACGAAACAATGGGCGAATCTTTAGCTATTGAAGGTACTTTAAGTTTAATTGGAGGGGGTTTCTCTGAAGATGAACCGCGAGAAGGTTCCGCAGAGGCTGCTCTACCTTCTGGCCTGGCCGAAGGAGAACAATCACTTTTCTGATATGAATGCTTACTACCGGAAGGAGCCGACTTGCTGGATCGCGTCAAGGGTGTTGATGTTGAGGTCAGACCTGGAGCACTTTCTGATGCCTGACGCGATATATTTGCCAACGAATGCGAGGTGGCCATTTGTTCAACGGAGTTTACAACCACTTCATTACTACCCGACATTGTTGCACTTTTTTGTGGACGTATTCTTAGCTGCTGTTGTGATTGTGACTTTTGTTGAGCTGTCGATAGATTTGGTGTACTGGCTATGGTGGTCGTTGAGACGGCAGCCGTTGGCTGTTGCATCGTAATACCAGCTTGTGAGGCGGTGGGTGTTGGATTTTGATTTGTTGGTCCATTGGATGCTGTAGGTGTGGGATTTAAACTTTCCTTACGTTTGTCATAGCAGTAATTAAGCCAACTCAAATAGACATAACAGAAGCTGGTGCGCGTTATGCCAACAGCACGAAAATCAAAATCTTCATCTAGATTGAAATTGAAAATTGGATCCAAATCTACAAATTGACGGCTGAGAGTGTGCTGTAAGGCTTCTTGTATCACTGTTGAACTTAGCCATTCATCCAATTTGGGATTTTTAATGACATAATAGATTATACTCTGAAAATGGGGTGGGAGATGAGGGGAGAGAGAATAAAATAGAGAAATTAAAAGAATAGAATAAACTGATATTAAGCTGGTATATTGTAGCAGACATATATGACAGTCAATAAAACTAAATTCTTGGCATAAAAAAGCTAGCTATTTACTCTGTTCCTGAAACCAAAAGCTTTTCTATTTCAGCTGTTGGATGTCATATTTAATTTCTAAAAATGTGTTGACTGTCATACATATGCTGGCTAGTGTATACACTCTCCTATTCTACTTACCTTAACATAATAGGTAATAAGAACTTTTCGATATTCAAACACCTGTAGTGTGGTGCTGGCTAAATTATCCGAAATTGAATAACCTTCCACAACGTATTGTGATGCCACAACTTGCCAAGCCAGCCATCGTGTGGAAAACATTGCATTGGCACTTAACATTCGCGGCAAATGTCCCGGATCACAGCAACAACAGCCATCATTATCCTCGACATCTTCGGTAATGGCCTCAACTTCACGCTGCTGGCAATAGGTTCCGCGAAACTCCAATCCACGCATTTGAAATGTACACAAACCATTGCCCAGTTCGATAATGTGCACCAAACAGTTGAGGTAATCCGAGGCCAATACTAGGGAAAAAATGAGTTGATGAAAAAATATAAATAAAAACTACTGCTGGGAATGAGGTTTAATATTTTTTTGAAGGTGTTCTAAAAATACAAAAATGTGTATAGAGGGCCAAACGTTTTATAGAAAATCAAATAAACTAGTATAAAGCCAAAGAGTCTATAGGAGACCAGAGATATAGAGACCTAGAAGTCCAATTGATAGACCTAAATATGTTTAAGAAGATCAAAAAGATATATAGGGAACCAAAACGTATCAATAGAAGACTGTCTTAAAGAAGCCCAGGATGTATTGTGGAATACCAGAAGGTCTTAAACACAACCAAAAGGAATTATGAACTACCCGAAAGTCTTATAGAGTACCAAGAAGTATTATAGAAATCTATAGGTCTTATAGAGGACAAAAAGTCCCATAGAAGATCAAAGGCCTAAAGGAGTTATTTGGAAGAAAACAAAAAGTAGTCGTACTGGTAACCAAATATCGGTCTTATGAAGACCAAATATTGGTATTATAGAAGACAAATAAGTTACCGAAAAATGTCTTATAGGAAACAAAAAATGTCTTACAATAGACCAAAAAGGCCATCGTTTATAAAAGAGCTGATTAATTTGTTCGATTTGTATGTCGTATGGAATGCAAAATGAGGTCTTATAGAATACCAAATATTTCATAGAAGACCAGAAAGTCTTGAGGATATTATATATACAAAAGTTACTTACCAAAACAATCACCCTGATTGACATTACCCCAACGACCCATTATTAAATCACCACACAACGAATGTTGCAGCGAGCGTGTTAAATGCTCATAGAATATTGAATTCAAATTATTATCATCTGCACCCAAATCACGTTCCAATTGTGAACTTAAACGGGTATTGGAGTGGTCGATGCGCCTCGTATTATAATCCCGTTCCCAAAATTTAATCGGTCGTACATAGGATGTAAGGAATATTGCGCTACCCAAAAATGGATTAAGTGGTGTAGACAACAGCGATGATATGCCGGCCTGTAAGAAAAGCATGGCCGAATGTGGTACACTAAATGGTTGGGCAAATGCATGAAAGGCCGAGCCCCATGTAATTTGCCAAGGAGCAATATATGTAACAATAAATTGTAGCTGGAAGCAAAAACAAATTGTATATTTATTAATATTCCATAACGAAAAATGCAAATAACCATTTACCTTCAAAAAGAAATCACAACATTTGCGAAAAGCCAACGATACAAAGAAATAATCAATTAGAAATGTTTCAGATGCCATGGCGAAATCCACACGAAAGAAGAGAACGGTAAACATAACAATCAGGTACTGATTTGTGGGATCCGAGTAGGCATTGCGAATAACTGTAAGACATAAAATATTTTATTTATAAACTCTCTCTTTCGAATTCCAAAATGTTTACTCACATTTTAAAGCACACACTGCCACAATAACCGAACCCCATGCAATACCATATTTAACAGCTATCACAGTGGCATCGGCCGTCAAGGCAGATATAACCAACAGAGGAAATAAAACATTTCTCTCCAGCAAACACAAATAAATGTAGAATTTTTCAAACCACATAATTTTCGGGGCATTTGACACCTCATAACGTCCGTATTCCTTTTGTTTGAGTAGGGGTTTGGCAAAACACAGCCATGGCATGTGTTTACGCATTTGTGGTATAATATAGTGCAACAGGAATCCTAGCGCTCCGGTAAAACCATACAGGACAACATTTAAATCCGGTTGCAATACCGTGAATACTGTGCTACAATGCAGACCCAAGACAACAACGGCCAAAAATATCGTCACAACAACATCATTCTTCAGCCTTGTATACACGGTGTGTTGTAATTTTTTGGGCAAGGGATCGGCAGCATTGCTATCAGTTTCACTGTTGGCATTGTCAGGACAATTCATGGCGAAGACATCGGTTTCATTGGCTTCCGTTTCATTTTGTATCACTCCCGTGTAGGTGGATATTTCAGCGGGATTTGTGGTCGAGGTAGTAGACATTTTGTCCATGTCAGTTTCTTTTGCTGCCGCCGTTGTTGCTGCGGCAGCTGCTGCTGGAGTTGTTGGCACGCCAATGTCGGTTTCTGTACTCTCTCTTATCACGGGTGGTAGTTGCAGTGATGACGGTGTTACCTCGTCCACCTCTTTCATTACATTTTCAGTTTCTAAATTGGTATTACAGGAACTACTGGAGGCCGTTATTGCCTTTTTACTTGTCGACATTGTTGTTTTACCCAACGTCTGGGTACTACTACCCAGTGAAGAAGCTTTCGATTTACTTCTTTTCTCAGTCATTTGATCCTTATCCTCGGACAGTTCATTTGTTTCGGTTTCTTCTTCTTCCTCGGCCTCGCCATCAGCTTCTTCCAATTCATCAGTGGTTTCATTTCTTGGTGTTGTGCCATTTTGTAGTTTTTCCAAGGAAGACATTTCGATGTTTTCACCTGTTTTACTTTTATCGCCGTTGTCTTGTTTTTCTCTTTCACGTTTCTTGGATGAACCCCTTTTCGTTTTGCCGGCAGTTAGCTTTTGAGTACTGGCCGTACTCAACTCATCATCATCTTCGTGATACGTGGACATAATACAATGTTTCATGAGAGCCCAGATATGGCTAAAATCACTAGCCGATCGTGAAAGATGGTAACCCAAGGGCACTAGGAGAGCACAAAATATGGAGAAAATAATGTGCTGGGTACCTTTACCTTCGTTAAGGGCGGCATACAATGGTCCATAGAGTAGTAAAACACCCATAATTGATCGCAGAACACAGAGTATAGAACCTATAATAAAACAATTTGGAAATTAGTAATAACACTCTCGTCTCTTTAGAATCACCAACTTACCCACTAAACTTCCCGCTGCATTTCCACCAAAAACATGCATATCTATTTGTTCCATTAAATACATTGTAAATGTATTAATCTGCGGGAACAGGCCCAACGAAAATATCAACGGAAAACTTAACAGAAATATATAGAGAGCTTGTAGAACCAAGCCATTAACCTGGGCCGGATAGAAGGCAACACCAAAAAATACCCATTGTTTCATTTCAATACCCTGCAAAGCTTCGGCATCATATTCCTCTTTCAGTCTTTGAAACATCAGCAACAGCGATGAACAAATGCAAAAATATATTGCTCTGGAATAGGCCACCGTCTTATTGAAGCCGTGTATTGGCGATGCAGCATCTGGCTGGACACTCTTCAGCAAAGAATATTGTGAGCCGGCTATAACGGCACAAAACAGAAATGCAAACACATCTTTGTAATAGCTCAGCTGGAGTATTGATGATCCCAAATATGCCACCGCAGCACTTAGTACCACAGAGAGGACTATGTGTATCCAATGGATATCACGATCAAATAAAGCCATCAATTCCAAACGATCCATAGAGATTTTAAATTCCTGTGTAAACGATCCCAATTTGAGGCGGTATTTGTAGAAGGATTTTGATGTAACTGCTGGCTTGTCGGAGGTCAACATACACGCTGGCCGCCAATAGTCACAGTAGTTGTCTATATGGGCTCCATCTACATTCAGTATGGCAGCCATGGCAGCTCGATTGTTGGTCGTAATTAGCGGTGTAGCCTGTACCCGTTGAGAGGTTTCCATGTTGCGCAGCTCATCGTTGATAAATTCGTGGATGAATCCCTTCAGCGACACTGTGGTGGCACTGCTGACATTACGGTTGTTAAGCACTGTCGAAGAAGAGGGAGAATCAATCATTACTTGTGTCAATGGAGCAGCGGTCCGTGAGGCAGCCGCTGCAGCTGCCGTGGATGATGATGAGGCGGACATGATGTGAGACATGGCTGCATTGCTATCTAAAGGCCATTGTTCGATAGCATTGCTATGATTGGATTCAGCATCGCCAGCTAATCTCTGGCGCATACTCCTCCGCATCAATTGTTCCCGATGATACAAACGTTCGGTTAATGCCAGTCGTTCAGCCGATGAGGCCGAGTTCAAGGCCTTCAAGGCATCCTGATAGAATTGCAAATGAGCACTGGACATATTGCCTTGATTGGTGCCACTCACCGAACTGGGCAAGGAGGCCAAATTCTCTGGATTTTCTATGGGTCTGCCCCTTTCGTCTACTGAACCGCCATGCATTAACCACAACATTTTCTGGATGTCAGCTGTGAAAGACTCCGCACTAACACTGTGGGAACTATTCGATGAGGAGGAGGTGCGCGAAATTGCTTTGAGACCAGTGGCGGCAACAGAAGCGGAAGCATGATTCGATTGTGTGGGGGCCACCGAACTCCAATTACCCGCATGTCGTTTGTAACTGTGATGGGAACAGGAGGGATTCTGGTGGTGACTGCTATCCTGTGTTGAGCGTTCATCTATCTCGCGATATTGCACTTGCTTGGGTATTGCACCCAAACGCTTGCCCACATTTACATTCGAATTGGAGCTGGAGGAAGAAGCTCCATTGTTGGCATTCGAAGTGGTGGTTGGCACATTATCCTGAAAATCATCTCGCACTTTACTCGGCTTCTCCTGATGTACCTTCTCATTTGAAATGTTGAGTAGAACATCTTTGGAACTGGCACTAATCTGTTCGCAATCGCTGGAGGGACAACCTGAATCGGCTTCATTTCCTTTCGCCGCCTGTTGTTGATTGTGAAGAGCTGCTGCAGGTGATGGGAATGCTTGAGAGACATTGGATGGAACCACCGCTGGTGGTTGAACCTCACCATCGGGGTTATTCAAAGCTTGCATATTGGCTTGATGTTTCTTTATGGAATGTTTTTGTTTTTGTACATTTTTAATTTCATCTCTCAGAGCCTTTTCACTAGACTTTTCTTTGTTCGTCGTCGTCGAGGGCGAGGAAGATGAAGTGACGGCCCATTTTTTATTGTTTAGCAACGGTGATCGAGAGCCATTGTTATCGGTCTCCGAATCTGTGGAATGTAAACGTTCTCTGGTCATGGCTAGGGCGCCACGATTATCGTTATCATCATCGTCCTCATCATCATCGTCGTCACCGTCTCCGTCAATGCTGTCATGACGGGTTTCGTGAGATGTTGACCTTGTCGGTGGTTGTTCAGACTTTTTACTTTTGTTCGTTTCCGATAAATCTTGAACAAGTTTCAGTTGTTTTTGTAACTGTTGTTCTTGTTGCTGTTTCTGCTGCTGTTGTTGCTGCTTTTGAGCTCGTAAATCATCATCCAACTGATTATGGGTGTGTTCAAGTACTTCCAGTATATGCTCCACATTGTAGTCAAAATCTTTGAATTCATCATCGTCATCTTCATTGCTTTCAGTTGTATCAATTCGTGGATCGATGGATTCTTCATCCTCAACTTCATTCTCATCATCCTCATCGCCCTCGTCAGCATCCTCAACTTCGTCGTCGTCATCATCATCATTGTCTTTGGTATCGTTTAGTATTTGGCCCACATCGGACTCAGCACTGTGATGATGATGGTGCTGTTGCTGTGCTTGATGTTGATGGTGAGAATGAAGAAAATGATGAGGACACACACCACCCACGGCACCCATAGATGTCTCATCCTCATCCAATGTCAGTTCAATAGGAGTATCGTCATTCTCAACGGAGTCGTTGACTGAGATGTCGGCAGTTTTCTTCGATTTGTTCTCTTGTTTCGTTTTATCCCTACTGCTTTCATAGGCTGGATCTATTAGGGCATTTGTGGAACCAAAATCCAGACTACTGTTCGTTGAACTGCCACCAAAACTTCCCCCAAATTTGGGACATAAATTCAGGTGGGGATTACGTACTAAACATTTGCTCGGAGGTGGCAAGAGGGAATTTTGTGGATTTTTTATCTGCTGTTGGCCATTAATGGCCTCCACACTATTCGGATGTGGACACAGATTCGATACTGAAGGTCGCGGACAGGCTACTTCTAAAGCTGTGCTTTTAATGCGACGCACTGTGGTCGTGTTGCTTGGCAACTGACCCACATTCGAGGAACTGTCGTTGGGTGTTTTAAACAGCGCTGTGGCATTTGAATGCCTACGCCTTTTAATTGCTCCTTCACGTCGCGGTCGTTTGTGTAATTGTAGGGCTGAGATTGTATAAATGGGATCCTTTGTAATATTGGCACGTCCCGATGAAGTTTTAGATTGATGATTGAGGCGGTTTGAATGAGGATGCGAATTAAGTAGAGCAGCACGAGATGAATTGGCAGTGGAACGGTCATCTAATTGTTCGATGCCCAAATCGGATTTGGTAAAACTATCATCTTCTATGAAAACATCAGAAGATGAACCTAAAATTAAAGAAGGGAAATAAATATATAAATATAGAAAATATTTCAGAATAATAAAGCAAGGTCTACTCACCCAAAATCCATGAGGGCAAAGCACGCATTCTGCCATCGCTGCTGAGATGGCTCCCATGAGTAACAATATTGGCACTACCACCTAATCCCAACTCCATGTCGTCCACATCAAAACTTTCACTGGCACCAATGCTGGATGAGGCTAATATCGCTACCGAACCACTGCTACTCGCCATGGTAGCGCCACCACCACTACCACCACGTCTGTGCGTGTGATGATGATGGCGGTGATGCGGATGATGTCGTCCATGTTCATGATGAATGGAGAGAAATACTCCACCACCACCATGACCACTTGTGCCAACACCACTACCAGAAATGCCCCCACCACCACTTCGTTGTTGTTGTTTCAGTCGCTCATCATGCGTTTCCGAGGAACGATGCCTCTGTAAACGTGAAGTCTTCAATGCTGATGTGGACACATTTGAGTTGGATGCCGGAATGGCGTTCAATGTTGAACTCGTTGTATTTGATCGTTGTGCCAGTTGCTGCTGCTGTGGTCCTGCTGAAGATGTAGATGGTGCCGTTCCAGATCCCGATTTTGATACTTGTGCGTGTACAAAACTATCACATTTCTCTGCATTTCCTGATGCCCCGCCCGTTGATGCTTTATTCGATTCGTTGACTTGTCTTTGTATTAATTTGGCAACAATTGCAGATTCTGCAGCCGCATCTAAACTTGATTGACGCTCCAGTCTTCTTCTCTGGTGACTTCCACGAACAATTTCCGAGGATTTACGTACTAAATGTGGTGGTCTTGGCCCACCAGTGGCCATCGCCGAAGCTCCACCACCACTAGCACTTGGCACAAGACTATTGCTGGCATATGATGAACTTGCTATTGGACTGTTATCTTTGGGATAAACACTTATATATTTGGCTTGTGGGTCATTGATGGGGGTTGATGATGCATTGTTGTTGCTATTATTAGTGCTATTGTTGGCGTTGTTGTTGTTGCTGCTGCTGATGATGCTATTGTTTATCGTATGCGAGGAACGTATTGATTTTGAATTACTTGTTGCGCCGACCAAAGATTGTTGATCCTGTTGGCTATTGCCTGAGATCATTGACGGGGCATAGAACATTAATTCTATGGATTCGGAACTGTTTTTGCGATGTACATCAACTTTTAAATCTGTGAAGATAGTGAAAAGAAATTATAAAAAAATTATATTTTAAGGAAGAGTTCACTTAATCTTTATCCATAATGTAACTACTTTATTTCTGATGTCATTATAATAAATTATCGACTGCAGATTTGTCAGGTTTATGAAGATGAGTTTTGGAATTCCAGAAATATATTTAAATATCGATTGTGACCCAAAAATAAATATTAGAGGTAGAGTTCAAATTATATTGGCAATGCAATGAATATCTTATCCATAAAGAATGCAGCTTTAGAGCTGTTGGCACAATGGTGAGGAATTTGAAAATAAACCCTCAGGATTCTAACCAGAATATTATTGTAGATTGCCTGCCTACCCATTCTGTAACTAATGAAGTTTCAAAATGGTACTGGTGGGTAGGGATCTCATATACGAATACAAAAATTAAAAAGTGTTTAAATTCCTAAGCCGTCATTACTAGAATTCCAAATATATCACAGTATACTTACCAATAATACTATTTCCATTTTCCATGGACACCATGCTATTCTCTCCACTAATTTCATTGATGGCTTTCTCCACTGAAGCAACCATATCATCGGTGGCCACTTCGCCATCCTCATGTATTACCTTCATTTCAATGCCAGGTTCATTGTCTCGATTTCTGCAAAATCAACATCATCGTCATCGTGATGACACACACACAGCAAACGGCAGCAGCAGCAAACAGCGGCAAACGGAGCAGATATACAAAAATATACACAAATATAAATAAATCAGAACAATTGACGTACTACTCTACAACACTACTCTCTTAATGGACAACAATTCTTAGGTTCGGTTATTGTTGTTGCATTCAATATGTAGGTCACCTACCTTTCGGCCGATGTTTCCTTGGTAACCTTGAAAAAATGTTGCTTTATATTCGCCTCTGACATTGACTGAGCTCGATCGTACAAACGATGCAATGCCATATTGGCCACCTTCAATAGCAACACCGTCAAGCTGGTCAGAACGCTGTAGATGCACCATGTCAGCCATGTTCCCGGAAAATATAAATACGCCACGAACGGTGCACACAACAAGAACAGCCACAAATACAAATGGACAATATTGCAGAAGACACTTTGATGCGGGTCATAGAACCAGCCGCCAGTTAAAGAGGCCCAGACGCCTTGACGTAATATTTCCAAGGTCTGAGAACCCATGGCTTACGCCCAGGCATTGCCGAACTAGAAAATCAAAATAGAAACGGAAAATGTGAGAAATGCTTTCAAATCTTGTCAATGTCCACCTCCGCACCTCCTCCTGCGAAAAAAAGAATGTAAACAACACACCAAAGTCGAAACCTTGAGTTATGTCTTTCTTTTTGTCGCTTGCTCGCTCGCTGTCTCGCTGTTCACTCGCTTGGCTTGTTGTTTGGTCGTATTGTCTGTCTGCCTGTCTATCTGTCGTCGACGTCGTCGTCGTATGAGATGTTTTCTTATACACTTGCTATGTTGCTATTGTTGTTGCTGTAATCCGAGACTCCTTGGCGTTAAACGGCTAAACCAATCGGGGAGGGGGGAGTTTGCAACAGCTTCTCCACCTCTTCCGCAAACAGCAAGCAGCGTATCACTCCAACACACACACGTACGTACACAGCACAGCACCGACTCACACACTCAATTCAACGATTTTTTTCTTTCTTTCTTGCACTTCTCCAAGAGTTATGCCAACTATTCCAATCAATTTTCAACATATTTTTGTAAATTTTTCATGTAATTCATCATGCTGTTGGCTAACACTGCAGTAGTTCGTCGCTTGCACTTGATTTGCTTAACTTTTTCTCAATGATTCTTCTGGCTCGTATGATTTAATTGCTTGCCCGAAATTTCACTTTTTCTTCTTTTCATTCATTCATTTTTTTCGATTTTCTCTTTTACACAACAATATTTTTATGCTTTTATGCAATAAAAACAAAATATTTGTCGATTTTCAGTACAAATTCTTTTACAAACATCTATATTTATATATTTTGTATGTGATTCACGGTTTTTTCTTTGGATTTGAGGCAATTTTTCAATATTTTCTGCTATTTTTTGATTGAAGACCTGCTGATACTCCCTCGAGCTGTCAAAATTGTTTTCTATTGACAGATTTAGGCATTGTGTAGTTGTAATTTCACTGACATTTGGTTTGTTTACATTTGTTCGTACTTGCATGGGTTGTCATTCGAACAGGGCTGGCCCTATCTCTTTCACCCATGCAGAGTTTTTGTTGTATTCCCACCAAACAAAAGCAAGTGGCAACACACACACTACATGTAATGGAATAAGACAGGTAGAGTTTCTTTTTGTGCTAATCATTCTATGTGCATAGTATTTAAAAGAGGAAGAAGAAGATTATTGCAATTCTAAGGCAGTATTCACATTAAACCTTAAATGAATAAGACAAATAAATGCCGATTATTCGAAAAAAGTGTTTTATGCTATTTAAAAAAGTAAGAAGAAGATTATTGCAATTCGTATGCAATATTTAACAAATAAATGCCGATTATTCGAAAAAAGTGTTATTTTGCGCGATAAACTGTAAAATAAATGATTATTTTATATTATATTCATATGTTTATTATTATATTTAAACAAAATAATAAATGTAGATTTGAATATAGATAATATCAGCAAGCGCGTTATAATTTAACTTATAATTTAATTTTTTTAATAAAACAATTATATTTCCAAAAATAAAATTAAATAATAAGATTACTATTATACTAACCAACCAATTATATGAAATATATAGAAATTTTCCATTATACTGGATTTCGTTAACCCAGTGGATATAATTAGGTTTTGCTTATTAGGTTTGTCTGGCGATTGGGGATTTTGTCTGCATACTTTTCCAGTAATAATTACTCACCAAGTTCTTTTGTGAGTTTAAGAAAGGTTCTTCTTCAAACAATAAAATTACAAAAATAAAAAGGCAACATTTGTAAAAATTTTCTAATTGTTTTTCCTTGTATAATACTTTATTGAGTACATTTTTTTCAGTAAGGTTTTTAATACTCAGTAATACACAACTGAAAAATATCCCGGCCTATATCGGCCTACCTCCATTCTGTCACCACTAGCGAAGGTTTTGGAGTCCCTCTTGCTGCTAACAATGATGTAGAAACTAAAGCTAGGATGTCGTTAAACATATAACCAATGACCTCAAAAAGATATCGTAAAACCTGATGAGCGGACATTTCATGTGGCATTGGAACCGCCAATATCTTCACATCGTAGACAAAGGAAGTTTCGGGCAACTAAACATATCCATCAGAGGCAGGATAGTCAAACGGCGGGTGGTTACATATATTGACTCGGAGATGGACTCCGACAGAAGCTGCCAGCCAACAAATACATGTTCGTCCGTGCCGGTATTGAGAGGAAGCCCGGACCTTGGTTCTGTAGTGTTTGCCGCAACCGGATTCTTAATAGATCCATCCATGCAGTGGATGCAGAGTATGGGTGTATTTTCGAGGTTGATCTGGACTGAACCGGATCCGGGAGTACTGTAAAAGGAGTTACATCACGCGCTTGCTAAATTACTAGGCGTCACCTTTGATAGCCTCCTGACATTCTACTGGCACGACTCAACGCTGAAAACGAAAGTACAGAAGCCAAATAAGATGTTCAAAGCCATGGGACAAGGGCAAGGAGTAATAAAGACTACCTACAAAACTGTACGTAGAACTGTCCTCAATTATGCTGCCCCACTTTGGACTTCGTTTATTAGCTCTCTCTCTCTCTCTCTCAATGGAGAATGCTTCAAACTACACAAAATAATGGCCTACGTACAGCAACCGGATACCTCCAGATGACGAGTGTGTATAAGGAGGCAAGGATACTGTAATGCAGCAACATATCGTGTTGTTCACCAGACAGTTCCTGTTGGCATGTCAACTGCCCACTCATCCCAAGGAGATTTCCAGGCGCATCGGTCTTGTGCGCAGCACATCCAATTTGAAATACCATGTTCCGAGATGTTGTCTTCCACTTGATTTAACCAACCAATTCGTGCCTTCCCCTTCTGGATGAACCATCACTTTACTTACTTTTAATTAACTGGCTTTTTACAGAACGTTGTTCCATAAGCCGAGCTTAAAAAAGATTTCCAAGCGCGTCGGTCTTGTACGCAAATCCACCAATTTGGAGACCACGTTCCAAGATGTTGTTTTCTACTTGGTCTTTCCATCTAATTCGTGGCCTTCCCCTTCTACGGGATCCATCAGTAGGCTCATTTTTATACGCCTTTTGAGCAGGGGCATTATCATTCATTGGCACAACATGCTCAATACGACTGACTATGTTTATGCCCGCGTATAAATTGTAAAGCTCGTGGTCCATTCGACACCGATATTCACCGTCGGCGCAGATCGGCCCGTACATCTTTCGGAGAATTTTTCTTTCAAACACCACGAGAGCTGTGTCATCTGCTTGCGCAAGTACCAATGCTTCAGATCCATATAATAGCACGGATAGTATCAGCGTATTGTAAAGTGTGAGTTTGGTCTGGCGGGAGGTGGCCTTGTTTCTAAACTGCTTACTTAGACCATAGTAGCATCTGTTGGCCATGACAACCCTTCTCCGAATTTCAAAACTGATGCCATTCGTTTTATTTATGGCGGTACCAAGGTTTATAACATCTTTAACTACCTCGAAGCTGTAGTTCTCAAGTTCCACAGTTGGTCCGAGTCTACTGGACGTCATGCGCGTTGATACCATCAGTTTGATCTTCTCGCCGTTTACTGCCATGGTAAATTTTTTTTTATGTGGTCTGAAGATAAGGATGTAGAAATTGTTCACCAATTATTTATTATGAATTAAGCATCAATTATTGGCCGCAGTTGGCATAATCTAGTAGTGACAAAAGGGTAATCTGAGTACTGACTCACCAAAGATAAATTTCGCGGGTTTTAATATTCCCAAATTTTATAGGTTTTGTTAGGTTAAGAAAAATATTTCAATTTGTGCATTCCCTAGGGTTTATTTATTCAATGTAACATTTTCTAATATATCATAATTCATTTAGAACTTAGAAAAAGGAAATAAAATTCGACACTTTGCATAAAATCACAGAGGATTCTTTATTTGGAGCTATGAATATACCGTCAAAAAAATAAGCAACGGGCAATGTCATTGGCAGATTTATTTTGGACTTTTTTTCAATTTTATGGACACCTATTGCACACGACATTGTGATTTTTGCTGTCGTTGTGGTTGTCTATCCATTTCAGTAACAAAGTATTTTTCAACGAGGAAAATTGTCATGAGAAAATCCAACACACAACTACTTCACAAAACTTGCCAAGCTTATATAATTGATATAAAACTTTTGATTTATTCCGTTAACCACAGAAAACTAAACCGGAGTAATAAAAGTAGAAGTTGACGACTCGAACTAATTTATGCCAAAGCTAAGCTTTGGAGTGCGCTGTGTGTGTGACCGACATTCACTGTGACAAGGAGATGAAGCAGAAGGAGGTGTTAAGCGAGGATTTCATTTCGTTTGCTGAGTGGTAACGAGCAAAGCATTGATAATAATCATGCCACCGGGGGCAGCAGCAGCCAGCACCATGGCATAAAACCATACAACCAACAAAGCGGTTAATCTATGCAATTGTATCGATGTCTGGCTAATGCTAATGTTAGTTAACCTGCCGCTGCTGGTCATTTGTGCCACAGAAAACGAAAGCCTTGTTATGGCCTCCACATGTATTGAATGTGTTTATGTTTTATGCAGCTTGTCTGCATGTATATGACCGGGGCCAGAAAGTCAAACAATATTAGAGAACCAGTCAAACGTGTTATAGGCTTCAAATTGGTCACAGTGTTTTTGGGGGTCGGTCGGTACATCCTGATTTCTGATTGGAGGATATACAAAAAATCTGAAATATATCCTTACTTAGCTGGCTCAAGGCAGAGCATTTGTTCCATAAAGTGAGCTTAAAAAAGATTTCCAGGCGCGTCGATCTTGTGTGCAATTTTTCCAATTTGAAAGACCATGCTTTGATATATCATCCTCCACTTGATATTTCTTTTGCCCTAAGGATTCGAAACTTCTTTAATATACCTATATGGAAGTCTTCAACTTAGCGACGGCCTCTAAAATATCTTATATCTTTAATTGAAAAGCCAATATAGATCTCCAGTTAGACTTCCAGAAATCTCCGCATCCAATAGTTTCCCATTTTATGTGATTTTTTTGGGTTTCCAAACACTGTGCTCCAGT